AACATGCTCGCCATTTCAACCTTGGGAGTGTTATAATGTGACGGTCTATTCCACTATTCGTTAGTAAAAGAGTAGTGGTGGGTGATGATGATTAGCTGTCTTCCCTCTATTCTTACACTGCTAGCGCAGATAGCCCTCGTGTAGCTTTCCGCTGAATTCAAAACAAACCCAAACAATCCCTAATATACGTTCTATCTGGCATGCATTTCCAGAACAGCCCCGTTTCATCCACATCGTAGACTTCTTCTGGACTGTTACCCCTTCATCAATAATTTTCTTGCGTTCACTAGAGTATCTTTGTGCAGCTTCTATATTAGCACCGGCAGCCTCACCACTTAGTTTTATGTTGTGCTAGTTAAAGCACTTCCCGGACCTATTAAACCATCATTTACTTGCCAGGAAGGGTTTTTCTTCAGAACTATCCCTACCACTTTGTTCAGTCACCAAATCATCATACAAGCTTTTTGCCTTACCTTGAATAGCCATCGTGTTTAATGGCACATTACGTTGGATCTGGTCCTCAATCCACACACTCAGAAGTCGTTCCATGTTAAGAATCACTTTACTTCTATGAAAATACAATGTACGAGCACTTAGAGGTGTAGCTACTTTAGCACTTGCCTTGATTTTTTTTGTCACCTATTGTTCCTAAAGTTTTAGCAATAGAGCTAAGTTTTTCCCTGGAATCAAACCTCCTCAATCTTCAAGTTTCACATACAAAGTAATTCATTTTCATGCTCTCTTGGGTGTACTACATGCACTTGAACTTGATGGCCTCTTTCCAAACATCTTGATTAATGGTAATACTCTGCAGTGTCTGGAAAAACGATGCAAAGAACAACTACGTGACCATATGAGGATCGTAACAGAAGCGTCACCTACGGCGCTAGCGCTTGGAAATGCGCTCTGACCAAATTGGTTGTTTGTTTGTTTTGTGCATTTTGTTTTTACATTTTTTTTATATTTACCACAAAATTCTGTAAGGGCGAACTTACTGTCCATACCCCGAATTTATTGGTCACGCTTTATAATTTCCATATGGGCGAAATTCCATAGCCCGAATGCCCGTAACGCGGGGGCAGACTGTATTAATTAACCCTATACTTGGTCAGACAGTGCAAAAAGCTGGATTTAAAAACCAGAAAACTTTCCATTATATCTAGTTCCTTATAGTATAGAATTATCATTTAAAATTCCCCCAGTTCAAACTTTCTGATCGAATATTTTAGGGTATTTCTGTTTATTTCGATTTCCAATGCTGAATCGTAGAGGAAGAAATGAAATCCAGACACATAAAGCACCGAAAACTCAAGTCTAAACTCGAATACTACAGCCAAGACCTATAAAATAACGCCTCCTGTTTGGATTTATCAATTTAATTTCTTTATTTCAAAATAATAAGCCGACAGCTGTATGAAAAATTCAAAATGAGTTAGAGTACTAGTTAGAAATAACAGAATGTAGTCATATACATTCTGATCTACAGTATTTTTTTTGAAATAATTTTGATGTTCAAGACTTAAGAGATTCTGTCTCTTTTTATTTTCAGTTTGGCAAGGATACTTCTGAGAAAAAATTCGTCTTTATAGCCTTGAGAAATTCCGCCTCTTTTATTTTCAATTTGGCAAGAATACTTCTTAGAAATGCTACGTCTTTACATCTATTTTAGCATCCATAGATTAAAGATATCTTTATTTGAGATTTAGTTTTTAAAACGAATGTAACTTAATACAAAATAGTGGTGGTAAACGACTTCATACGAATCTGAATCTTGCACTGATTGCTGAATGCTCTATGTAAAGCAGTCATGTGTTTAGGTATGCTTGTTTCAAAAATATCAAACAACTAATCAGATGATGTTAAAGAAAAACAACAAAATCAATAGTTTTCCATATCATTGCCAAGAGTTGCTACTTTCAATCTGGTACTTTTATTGTCGTCAAGTCACCTCAACAAAAATACCTACATTACCTAAAAGGCGTACGTACGTAAAAGGCGTAAAAGAAAGTAGATAGTGACTAAAAACGTTAAAAGACTTTCGCATGGTTAGCATGTTTAGCTGTATTTTGTATACTAAATAGCACATTCAACTTTATGTTTGTAACCAGTTAGCATTATTAAGTTTCTAAAAAGTAATAAATAGCATTATGGTTGTGAAAACAAAATATACTGACCTGTATTATTGAAAAATAATAAGCACGTTTAACTGTATTACTGTAAAAATTAGCATATTGAGCTATATTCTTGTATGAAATAAGCATGTTGAGTTGTATTATTTAATTAATTATATGCTTAGCTGCCTAGTGGGGTTTGGGGCCCTTATTGGTTGACCTGTTACCGATGCTACTATTGTTACCATTGTAACAAATAAATTTTCTGAACTGTAGCAAAAATAATAACTTTTAAGTATACAAAACGACTGGAAATAATCGTTTTTGTTTCTTTTTTTTTTGACGAACAAAGAAAATATCTAATTATTTGTCACAATGATGGTAGTCATTGTTTTTGCTTTCGGTTCGTTGTGTGATTAAAAACTACAAGACATTTTTTAATTGGTAGTTTTCTTCCATGTATTTTCTGAACGTAAAGATATTGTAAAGATAAAGACTGAATCGTCATTATAGTAAATATATATTCAGTAGATTTGTTAGACTAGTTTTTATAAGAACAGGCGCTGAATATTTCCTTGTTAAGATTAATTTCCGGAATTTTCTACTTAATCATAAGAAATTAACACGCGTGATGTAAGCTTCACCAAGAAATAATCGTTGCAAGTTACAGGTTTCGGAGCTCAGCTCAAGAGAAAATACGACATTATTTCGTATGATTAGTTAATCATGGTACTGAAAATACAGGAAATTGTCTAATTACCCATAACTTCCTTCTCTCACGAGGTCCATCAAAACTATATTATTTACAAAGATTTTCTACGCCAATATATGCCAAAATTTGGCGCTATGTTAGTATTGATTGTTCACTGGTGTTGGAAATAGAGAACCGAATACTGTTGCATGGTTGCATTACAATACGTCAAACGAAACGTTAAGAATTACTACAAAAAGAAACAACAACAAAAAAGATGAAGAGTATTTCGTCCCAACGAATGATCGGATATACTTATATCCTTCCTTATCTTCCTACCTGTTTGCTCTGATAATCTCATCTGTTACCTTATTTTCTAGGTACCTGATTAAGACAGAGAAACAAGGTCTAGCGAAGCGCATCTCTCACGAAAGATGACGCATGAGAACGCCACAGCATTATCTGCGATTTGATTCGTCTCGAATTTTCCTAGAAACTAAAAGTAAAACAAATATAAGATTTAAGTCTTGTAGGAAGACCAAACAAGAAAGTTGATCTATGTCATTCTCCTATTGTTTTCCTCTGGTATATTGAATAGGGATAAAACCTGCTTGGAACTTCTTTTTTTTTTTTTTTGTAGTTAAGCACAAAACTGCACAATGATCTGTGCTCTGCCAACTACGGGTATCGAAATCAGATTTCTAGCTTTGTAAGTCCGTGGGCATACTGCTATGCCACTGGATGGCAGCTTAAGAACGCACTTAGAAGTGAATAGACAATACGTTAGAAGTCGTATTGAGTGACTAAGCGTTTAAATAAATAATTATATTGTAAAAATGAAACTTTTGAGAGCACAACATTAATGAAAATGATACTAATAATAAGTTTAGTGAAAAAAATAAAAAATAAAGTTTTTTTCTACCTCATGCATTATTAAACGTAACTCCAAGATAAAAAATCTAAATAACTATAGTTATTTAAAGGTATATAAAATGTGACAGAGAATATGAGATATATATTTGATAAGATTGAAAATTTATCATTCGTCTAAAACATTCTTTCAGGATAAGTAAAAATCTGTTTTTTTAATCAAATATTTATATAAAATTACACGCGAACCAAACAGCCCTGTGATATTTGTTTCGTAGAGAAAATAATAATAAAATGCTGTATTTAAATATTTTTAGAAATAATGGGTTTAACCCGTTCTATTAGTTCTACATATTCATCAAATATTGTGAAAAAAATGTTAAGTAAAGTTTGTATGTTTGTTTGGAATTATGCACAAAGCCACACAATGGGCTATCTGTGCTCTCCTCACCACGGGTATCGAAACCCGGTTTCTAGCGTTGTAAGTCCACAGACATACCGCTGTGCCACTGGAGGGCCAGAATAAATAGAAAATATGACAATGTTTTTAAGTTTATATTACGTACTCTATCAAACCACGGTTTCACATATGTCAAATATTTTCTAGAGGGCCCGCCCTTCCAGTGGCACAGCAGTAAGGCCTGCAGACTTATAACGCTAGAAACCGGCTTTCGATACCTGTGGTGAACACAGCACAGATAGCCCATTATGTAGCTTTGTGCGTAACTACAAACAAACATTCTAGAGGACCCTCCGGTGGAACAGCGGTAAGTTTATGGACTTACAACGCTAAAATCCGGAGTTTGTTTCCTCGCGGTGAACGCCGCAGAACGCCCAATGTGGCTTTTCTCTAAAACAAACAAACAGACGTTTCTAAAGTGACATCTTAGATCAAATACTGAATACACCTGCATATTTATATAGCTTTTCATACAAAAATAAACAACTCTATTTACACGTTTATTAAAGTTAACGGTGGAAATCAGTAAGTTAAAGAATTTAAAAGAGCAAACTGATATTTTTATGTCAGCCCCTCGTCATGTTTTGTTTTTGATAATACAAGCAGCTCATCCAACAAAAGTCTTCTCGTTTCGTCTTCTTGGTAATTTCTGTGACATTTATGAAATCCGTGAACATTTATTTGCAAAACTTCAAGTAATACCAAATTAATTTAATAATAAAAAGAAATTGTCATGGCAACGACTTTACGTACAACAATATAAAAAAATGATAGCGGTGAGCGCGCGCGCGCGCGGAACGGCAAAATCGACATATCCTTACCTATATAGACGCCCCTCACGGTCTGTTCTGTAACTTCAATACTCGGGGAAACATCGGATAAGGATCCTCATAGACAACTAGGAAACTACTTTCCAGTGTGATACAGTGACGTAATTCTCAGGTAAGCTGCAGTTTCTAAACATCTCTTATTTCCTCTGTGTTAAAATAAATTCTGGTATGTTTTTGCAATTCTGATATATCTTTGGTCAGATAAGTTTATTTTAACGTTCTTATGAACCATTACAAAGAAATCCAGCCCTCATCACTGATAGTTTGAAAAAAAATATTGGTGGTTCTTGAACAAACATAGAAAATTAATTATAAAAGTTGGGTTCTAAAGAACTTTGGAAAATTCACGTTTCGTGACGGAAATTCTTTACGACAAAATTCCCTTGCATTACCTAAGCCCAATAATTGTACGAAACAACGTAAATTCTACTTGTTATATTCCATTAGATAACTTAACATTGGAACACGTTTCGGTGATTTAGAGGATTAGAGTTAATTTCACCGAAGGCATTAGTTTACTGATTACATTAGTGTTTTAACTCTGGTATAAAAATAAAATATTTTTAAGTGATTAAACACAGCAGTGCAGGTTTGGTCAACATAAATTCCAGTAATGTAACATCAAGATTGATTTAGACAGTCGCTAGTAATGGGCTTAGTTCGAGCCCTTATCTCTGATGTCTGATTCTAGGAAATACATACGCATGAATTACTAGTTTTGATAGTTAAATGTTTGGAAAGATTTTACCTAAAAATAGCTGTATCGAAACCCGGATTCTAGCGTTGTAAGTCCGCAGACATACCGCTATGCCACTGGGGGGGGGGGCAAGTCATCGTGTTAAGAACGTTTTTATTTTCTACATTTATTTCTTTCCTTACAGTTTTAGATATATATCGATGAAACTCCTGAGATAATTTAATCTTTTCGTCTTCGGAGAACTGTAGAAGAGGTACAAAAACAAAATATAGGTTCGTTTAATTTTCGAAATGATAACCGTTTGAGTTGTGATATAGTGAATTTTTACTGTTCCGGACTAGGGGAATTGATTTGACAGTATTTCTTTAAATGTACTATTCAACACATGCTATATTATCTCCGACATATACTGGACTAAATAGGAGTAGCCAATGTCATAAATATGCTGGTTTAATAAGGAATATCCAATGTCATACATATACCAGTCTAACAAGGAATATCCAATGCTTTAAATATACCAGTCTAACTAAGAATATCCAATGTCATAAATATACCAGTCTAACAAGGAATATCCAATGCTTTAAATATACCAGTCTAACTAAGAATATCCAATGTCATAAATATAACAGTCTAACAAGGAATATCTAGTGTGATAAATATATCGGTCCAACAAGAAATATCCAATGTTATAAATATACCAGTCTAACAAGGAATTATCAAATATAATAAATATACTGTTCTAACAAGAAGTAGCCAATATTATAAATATACTCGTGTAACAAAAAATTTTCAAATCTCATAAATATACTGGTCTAACAAGGAATATCCAATGTCATAAATATACCAGTCTAACAAAGAATTTTCAAGAGTCATAAATATACTGGTCTAACAAGTAATATAGTGAGTGATAAATATACATGTCTAACAAAGAATATCCATTGTCTTAAATATACTGGTCTAACATAGAATATCCAATGTCATAAATATACCAGTCTAACAAGGAATATCGTTTGTATTAAATGTACATGTCTAACAAAGAATATCCAATGTCATAAATATTCCTGTCTAAGAAGAAATTTTAAAATGTCGTAAATATACCAGTCTAACTAGGAGTATCCAATGACATAAATATACTGGACTAACTAGGAGTATCCAATGTCATAAGTATACCAGTCGAACAACGAATATACAATGTCATAATTATACCAGTCTAACAAGGAATATCCAGTGTCATAAATATACCAGTTTAACAAGGAATTTTTAAATGTCATAAGTATACCAGTCTTGTTAGAAGTATCCCGTGTCATAAGTATACTGGTCTAGCAAGGAATATCCAATGTCATAAATTTACCAGTCTAACTAGTAGAACCCAGTGTTATAAATATAGCAGTTTAACAACAAATGTTCAACGTCATAAATGTACCAGTCCAGCTAGTTGTATCCAATGTCATAAATATACTGCTGCAACTAGGAATATATAATGTCATGAATATACCGGTGAAACAAGGAATTTTCAAATGTCATAAACATACCAGGTTAACAAGGAATATCTAATGTCATAGATATACCAGTCTAGTTAGGAATATTCAATGTCATAAATAGACCAGTCTAATAAGGAATTTTCAAATGTCATAAATATACTGGTCTAACAAGGAATGTTCTGTGTGATAAATATACTGGTCTAACAAGAAATAACCAGTGTCATAAATGTACTGCTCTGATTAGGAATATCGAATGTAATATATATATATATATATACCGGTCTAACAAGGAATTTTCAAATATCATAAATATACTGGTTAAACAAGGAATATCCAACGTCATAAATATACCAGTCTAACTAGGATTCTCAAGTGTCATAAATCTATCAGTCTAACAAGGAATATCCAATGCCATAAATATTCTGGTCTAACAAGGAATATCAAATGTCATAAATATACTAGGTTAACAGGGAATATCCAATGTCATAGATATACCAGTCTAGTTAGGAATATTCAATGTCATAAATATACCAGTCTAGCTAGGAGTATCCAATGTGATTAATATACTGGTCGAACTAAGAATATCCAGTGTCATAAAT